ACCACCAATACTAAATCTAGCCGTGGCTCGGCACTATAGTAGGTGACAAAGACTGTGTTTTTGCTCAGCTATGTTTACTTTGTCAGATACAACCCTTCTTGAGTTGGCAGCAATTACCCATGTCTTGGCTACTATGTGTTTAGACTACTGCACTGAGCTCTACACAGGGTTACTCTTGAAGGATGCATCCAGAAACCTTGAGCTGATACAAAACATGGCCGGTTAATATAGCTCACACCAATCCTGAACCAAAATTCTGGTCCTTGTCCCAAATGCCTAGAATGTGCATGTTATTTGAACACATAACTTATCTCAAACCAGTCTTTTGGGAAGGGTGGTTGTGTTTCCAGAACCTTGGAAGAGAAGGTGCAAGCTTTCCTAGGTCTTGCAAAGATGAAAATAAACAGTTGAACTGCGATGTCAGTGTGATGAAAGGTAGGAAACAGACAAGAGAACGGAATTGCTATGATAGTCTCCAAGGGAATTTTCCCTGTACTTGGCCTATGGGGAAGATACTTTCTGAAAAAGCAATACCACATTGACCTTTCTTTGAAAAGGGGGAAAAAATTAGAATACAACCAGTACTAAACACCCTGCTCTGATAAACTGTTGGTTACCTATCCATTCAGAATTGAGTGATACATTTGATTCCCTCCCCCAATTTCCCTCTTCTGAATCAGCTCCCTTTTTCTTTTTGCACACAGCAAAGCAACAACAGCGATGTCTCTGCAGTACAATGAGAAGTCAATCAAAACAAGCACCAGTTCTTAGATATTAAAAACATTCCTGCTGTGTCACATCATGGCGCCGGCATAAACTAAAGTCAAGACTTTATACTGTCAAGAGGCACTAACGTCAGGCTGCCTTTCAACATGGATGTTTGCCAGCAAGCATAAATAAAGAATTTGCTCATAAACAATATCTTGAGGCAGTATGTCAAGCATGCTTTTTAAATTTTATTTTATTTTTTTTGAAGAATGAAAAGAACATTTGCTACTAGTAGTTGAAGTACCTGCCCTGAATTACGGCTCTCAATTGTTCTGCTGACCCTTGACTTTTAATGAAAAGAGTTATAGCAGCGTTCAAAGGCTGGTATATCTGTCAGTGGTACGATAAGGACTTATCAGTCTGTGCAATCTAGGTTTTCATAGAGGTTAGATTATCCATGTATAAAAGGAAGCCCAGTGTAAACTGGCATTTATTTCTTTAACTTATATACCACCCAATAACATGAGATGCACTCTCTGGGCAGTTAACCACCAACGCGTATAAACTGCAGATAATACAATACTTATTATAAACATTAACTATAAATGATAAAATAAAAACCACACAAAACTCACCAAATCTGATGTGAATAAACAGATTTAAACCATAGAAGAGCTAGCTTCTATGATGAGCTGGTAATCTCTATGTGGATAACACAGAGCTGCCTAGCTTTCAGTGTGCAATGTACATCCTTAGACCTAGGGTAACTGCTGAAAAGCTGCAGCTCCTGATAGCCTAAAGCTACAAATGTTGCTGCGAGGGAATGCAATGCGCCAAGGAACAGAAATCTGAAAAGAAAGCTTTCTCAAAGTAAGCCATGTCAGCTCATGTGCCACTCACTTCTTGATGACATGGTGCAGCTGCAATGAATGGACTTCGGCCAGGCTGGTTGTGACTGATGGCACTGTTTCCATCGCTGTAGCTTCCCATCCCCAACTACATTAAAACTAATGTTAATGACTAAAACCGAATCCAATACATAGAGTTAATTTTGATGGATCTGGAAATTTCAATTTGTGGGTGGTTGCTAAGTAATGCTTCTATGTTTCAGTAGGAAAAGAGATTGGTAGGATATTGAAAAGATATTTCTTCTCTATTGAAATTAATAGGGTAATGTTGGCTTGCCCTCATGGGTAGAACGAGCACAGGAATTCTATGGCCAAAGGACAAATCCAGCCAACTGTTATTCATTTCATCTGATTCGAGGGCTTGTCTGAAACTGAAAATATTTTAAAGCAATGGCAACAAAGCCTGAAAATATGGTGGATGAGTTAATTTTTTTATTTGTTAACCAATATATCCAAAAGTTTAAAAAACAAACACAAATGCCAGTGCAAACATGCACCAGATACACAGATAATATAAACTATTGCACATACAAAAAAACCCACCCTTCCACATTTGTTAATGATTTTTCATTCATTTAAAGAGGACTTGGTGCACTGGATGTGCATTAGACATGGGATATTTGTATTTGTATGCCAGGGGAATACAGTACAGGCCCATTTACTGCTCGCCACAGGGCATGTGCAGCCATTGTCACTCCTGTTGTGTCAATCCAGGAAGCAGCTCAGCCAGCGCTTCCCCACCTCCCCATGCTTCTGACCACTCAGCAGCTGAATGGGGAGACTTGCCATCCTACCTCCTTGCCCGAGTGGTCGGCAGTTCAGGGAGGCAGGGCAGCGGTGCCCAGGTTGCTTCCTGGATTGGGGCAACAGGAATGACGCCAGCTGCATGCCCTGCACAGTGAGCAGTAGGTGTTCCTGCCAGTTCGGGGGGAGGGAGAAATCTGGTTTAGCCAGTGGTGCCGATATTTGTATCCCCTGGGATACGATTACGAATATTCCATGTCTAATTAGCATCTGTTCACTCAGGTCATTCTTCTAGATAAAATTAGATTATAACTCAGTAATTTTGGTATTTGCAAGAGATACAACCCACTTTCTTTTCATAGATAGATATTAGTAAACTGAGTAGGGCACAGAAATTTGAAGAACTGGGTTTCTAATTGTGGAGGCATCCTTCACATGTTACAGGAACACTTGGAACTGGTAGGGATTTAGTATGAGTGAGCACTCCGTCTTAACTCTTCCTACCAAGATGAAATGCAGTAGTAATAGAGACCCACAACAAATCAAATAGCAGAACAGACAGAGTCTCAGAGGAAGGCAAAATCCACAACATATGGCACATTAGACTATACCAGAATGATTGAGGCACACATTTCTACAGAAGTTCACTTCCTTGCAATATCAGTCTCTGATAAGCACTTTGCTTATGGCCATTTTGCTCATTTGATTTTTTTAAAAATTGTTTTCATCCCCATTTGACAGCTACTTATAATTTGTATCAGAAAAAAAATATATTGTAATTCACAAACTACTATGCCTGGGTAATCTTCTGGATTGTGGAGTCTATTTTGATTTGTATATTACTACGTAATTATATTATATTTGTATATTACCAATTTCTAAAAGAATCACAGAAATCCAAGTGCAAAATGTCTACCAGGGGTGGCATTAAGCATGCAATTAATATGAAGAAAGAGATTGGCTCTAAGCACCAGTTCGGTTCAATAACGTGTTTTCTGTACTATTACTTCAGTTCAAGTGTTTTCTCACTAGAATCCACCCTTGGTTCTCACTGGCTTCCTTCCTTTTGTCTGTCTAATTTAGAAGGAAAAAAGAATGGAAGGAGACAGAAGTAGTTCAAGGTCGAGTGCAAATCACTCTGAAATTCATCTTCTGTCCATTACAAATCTAGTTAATTTTTGAGATGCCACAGATGAACACAAGCTGGAGCTCTGTAGAGCAGGGCAGCCACTTTGACACAGACATGTCTCTTCTGCCTCCAAAATCTCAAAAGGTTATACACAACCTGTATTTTTCATGCTGCATTGAATGTTGGACTGCAGTCAAGGGAAGGCTCTTGACCTTAGCCATGTCTGCAAGAACTTTCCCTCAGCACACATGAACTGGAAACACATCTGAAGACATAGCTCACAAATTTTGGCAACTGCATATTGTGTGGGAAGATACTGGTCCAGAAGTGTGACCTCTGTATATACAAGCAGCACGCTTTGCTTTGCTCTGTTGTTGATTTTTCTTTCTGAGCAATCCTGGTTAAGGAAACATAGGCTTCCTCATTTTACAGACTACAGGGACAGAATTTGAATTCACACCTTCTAAAGTTCCTTGATTTCCTCACGATCTCCCCAGGGCATCATAATGCCATGAAACATGAAAACCATTACTGTAGGCCCATGGATTTCACCATCCTATGAAATTTTACAGTCTTCATTTATATGCAGTGATATTTATGATTGACCAAGGAAATTACTCATGTCTGGAATGTATCAAAATACTAACTGTATTCCCCACCTTAGGAATACATTTCAGTTTATTTCACAGAATGCAAATGAAAAAGCAAAATGAGCCTTCTCCTGGCAGATATTAAGAAGACTTCTGAAAGCATGGCTGAAACCCCACAATTTATATTGCTTTGTTATGATAGGAATGATGACAAGGATTAATTTATTGGTCTTTCCCAGAGAATGAATTAATTGTTTGGCAGCTGTTTAAGACAAGCTGGTCAATAATGAAAATTTGGGATGTCGTACCAAGCCTTTTGAGTTTCCTTTCCCCATGTGATTTGAGCAAAATTTCTAAATTCCTTTTTTTTGAGGGGGGGGGAAGGCTGGGTTTAAAAAAACAGTTCATGATAACAAACTCTGCAGAGCACTTCTAGGTTTTGGCAGGACATAAATTAGAATCATTGGAAGAACTGATTCTAGGACCTCTCATGCTAAACATGAAGTGAAAAAAAAAACTAATCAAGAGAAGGAAAGAACAGGTGAGAAAGATGCATGTTTCTCCACTCAGCATTGCACTGTTAGATTCAAAAAGATACTTCTACAAATAGATTATGGAAATGTGGAACACTAAAAACTTCAGGCAGCTGTTTTTCACCACAAATGTCTTTGAAATTCATTAATTGAGGTCTGCTATGTAAGTGTATGGTATTCTGGCCCAGCATTACAAAGACTACAGACGGGTGATTATTCCAAAAGTTGGTATTTATAATATTCCTTGGAAGTCATGCTGGATTTGGTCCAGGGTCTGTGAAGAGAAGTTACAGGGCATTCATACAAGTCAACAGAGAAATAAAATTCAGTGGTGAATGACAATATCAACACATACACATGGGCAAAATCATTCTGATTTTTTTTTAAAAAAAAAAATCGATCTACGGTACACTTTTATCCACAGCATCCCACTTAATGTCAGTAGCACCCTGCTTATTTTTATACATGAAATGCACACTGATCAGTTCTCTTTCAGAACTCAGTAGAAAACTGTTGCATGTGAAGGAAACTCCATGCATACACAGAAGGTTTCATGTCTGGAATACAGTAGACTAGTATAGGTGTCCATTAATCAATTGAAATAGGAAAGCAAAATTAACTTCTTAATGATTAGATATGTAATTATTAAGCACGTTCTGGAAAAATTATGGGAGCATAAAGCAAACCCAATAAATAATCCTCATAATGGTCTTAAAAACATTTGGCATTATTTCTGATGGCCATTTTAACATTTTTAATCTGGTGGGAGACTAAGGAGGGTTTGTAATCCTATAAATCTGGAATTACTGAAAGCAGTTATAATAAGCAATCCTCCCTGTAAATATATACTCTTCGTCTTCACATAGCACCAAGTACTGTCATTGTAAATGTACTGGGCATTCCACCCAGGCAACGAGGATAGTGTTATCTGATTGCAGAGTGAATCATGTGGTTCCCTCTGTGACCGAATTGCACAGTGCAACTGCAGAAGAACTTGTGAACAGCAAATCGGCTTTGGAGCAATTAGAGTGACTTACTGCTTGGGTAACATGGAGTTACGCAAGCATAGCCACCCAATAGGATTTCAGCCAGTATTTGGGCTAACAAAGCTGTAGTTATATTTCAAAAATAAAAAGCTATTTTTGGTCTAATGAGCAATACTTTCTACCTACTTCCAAAATGCATTTAAAATATTTTTGAGGCATTTCAATGGGAATTTTTACACAATGAATAATACTATGAGTTCCTTTTCAAAATAATATTCCAAGTTCTGATTATTTTTTTCCTCTAAATTATCTGTGGTCGTTCCAGTGGATGCAGACGTTGAGTATAATTGACTTGTGTTAGTGAGCCAGAGAAGAATATCTCTCAGAAAGGGTTGGTAAATGGGATTTACATCATAGCAGACACTTATTTTATTTACATAAGATGTTTTCTCCACACGTTTTCTACCTGGCTTATTTATCACGCTTTTCAAGAAAGTGGTTTAGTGATTTACTAGGAACGGTTGGAGTATATTAGTAGGGTACAGACAATATGTTAAAATTTTTCTACAAACAGACATATCTCCGAAACAAGATGCTAGACTTATTTGTGCTCGACAGTCATTATGAAGTGGATAACACTGAACTATTAGGTTCATGGCATGATGCTATTAAATAAATGCTAGGTTTGTTTTGTGGTGGTATTAAATAAATGGAAAGTTCTATGTCCTGTGTCTCAGGGATGAGCTAGATAATCTCCAGGGTCACTTTCCAGACCTATGATTCCATTACTTCTTGAAATCACACTTTTCATCCTATAAAATCATATACATGTACATTTCCCTCCAAGCACTTATAACTGATATAAGGAATGTGCAGGATACATTCTTTCTATTTACATACAAAGTACTGAAGCTGTTACCATTGGAATACAAAACTTTGTGACTTATTTTTGTTATGATATATAATCAATGACAGATGGAAAAAATAAATAATCATGCCTCACTTATAATAAGCATATTTAAAAGCTATTTCTGCTTCTTCTGCTTCTTTTTTTTCAGAAGTACTTTCACAGTACCAGGAATATTGCTTGTCTCCCTGAGCCAGTTTCATAGAAGTTTTTCTCCTTAGGGAGGCGCCACATGTTCTGCCATGATACAGTAGAGTTTGATGAATAATATTCTGTCCCACTCCTCTTCAAGCCACACCACAAAAAAAGAGTCTTCATCCCAGCATGGTTTGGATGAAGAGTCCTCTTAATTAACCCCATGCAACATGAAGAATCCATCACAGTTGCGAATAAGTGAACCGTTTCTTCCTGCAATAGCTTCTTAAAAATAGTTTAGCATATGGATATACTCTTGAATCAATGATGTTCTTTTCTGCTCTTCAAGGTTATGATGTAGCCAACATGTAAAACATCAGCTCATGCCAACATCTTGGGAAGACCTCCGTTCAAAGGTGGGCTTCTGGAGGATGGACTGTCCACTCTAGGATTTTTCTGCAGATATTTCCTTTTCTATGCATCAGTAGTCTTGTCACTTGTTAGCTGAACCCTATCAGCCATGTCGTCTCTGGGTGGTCTTGCTCTGTCGAAGAAGCCACACTAGAACAAAACAAACAGTCAAGACAAGTAAACAAAGTAACCACTCAACTGACACAACATCAATTCTCTAATTTCCAGATCTTGCCCTAAAAATGCTCTATAGGGCTCATTTGGATCTGCTTTTGCTTTTGCAAGCACATAGAGGAACAAGCCACATGCTGTCAGCAGTACCTTTGGCTTACAAAATCACAGGCCAAATCTCCATAGGATGCTTTCTGCACAAACAGGACTAATTAAGATGTTACAAATACTCTTGCATAGCACATTATGACTAGAGGTGGCTCCTAGTCACCAAAGAGTTTGCCAGAAGCATATCATACTCCCTTGGTTTGCTGATACACTATGGCCACTAAATCAAGGCCATCCTGATGGCTAGCAGACGTCAGACATTAGGTTTGACATCCCATCCCTCATATTTTTTAGAATTCAATCTTCTAAAAAATATGGTCAAAAACAGGAGTTTGGATAAATAGACTGGGAGAATTTGTCCTAAAAAGCAGGTGAAGCTATGAACTTCTGAAATATCTTGAAAGTTTATGCCATAATAAAATTTTTAGTCCTTAAGACTCCTTGTTTAAGCCCACTGAATGTAACCAGGTTTTCTTTGGAATAAACATGCATACGATTTATTGCACATCTCATAAAGTGCACGAGGAAGAATATACCAATGAGCAAATAGCTTTTTGGGTGAAAATATATTGGTCCACATTGGCTTTGTCTTCATTAAAACAGAATCTATCCCAAGGTTTATCACACCATCTATACTGTGCCATTAAGCTGCTGGTGCCATTACCCAACTGCTGATGTGGTGTAGCTCAGTGGGTTGGAGCACCTGGGCCAGCCAAGATGACCAGGGTTTGTATGGCTGATGGTATTAAATGCCTCATCAACTATGTAGTCAAGGTGCAGAGTCCTAGAGCATTTCCAGAAGTAAAGACTAATAAACCACTCCTGAATAGTTTATAGTATATCTAAAGAAGCCTGGGAAAGTCACCAGACATTGAAACTGACTACATGATTTTGATATTCAGCCACATCTCCTGAAACATGTTGTTATTCCAGATGTGACAGCAGGGATGTAAACTTCACAAGAAGATAATATCTAGAATTTAGGTGATGTGAAAAACTTTTTCTGTATGTGAGTGTGATGGCACTGGAGTGCTCCTATGGAAGGGACACCAGTGAAAGCGTGGTGTTAAGTATTAGACAAGAAAGAAAGGGGAAAAACCTCCAGAAAGTAAAGAGTTCAATTCTGCAGCCTACCCCATTTGTACCACATGAATCACACTGGGGCAGATCAGAACAGCTGGTGAATCTGAATCATATCAGAGTACTTTGAGTTTTGTACCAAGTTGCACTACAGCTGACCTCTTCTGCTATGAAGGCAAGATGGGGCAAATTATCAAATGATGAGAATCTGGTGTTGGGCAAGACTTTCTCACCTGCTTCATCTGCATGACTGGCTTTGATTATCTGTCCAAATGGAAAGGATATAAAGGAATGGAATGTAGGTGTTTTGGGTTTCTTTTTAAAATGAGATCTGTGCTGTGTTGCGAGATTATCTCTTGGAATAATGGATAACAAGAGGAACTATGGACATTCTGTTCTTATGAAATTGTTCTACGCAATTTATGTCTTGCCAAGCTGAATGTAGCTCACCCACATTGTCTGCTAAGAGAGCTCAACCAAATTCGTGGTTTTGCCACCTGTCTGTGATTGCAAAAACAGAGAAAATGCCAAACATTTGCAGACTATAATTCATGGAAAGTAGCCTGTGTCCAGACTGGTGGGTGAAAGGTTTTGCTGCCTTATCTATATGCTGGAAAAGTTATTTGGGGAGGCTGCTCGCCAAGTCCTAGGTCTGTCTTACATGCGCACAGAGTGTCTTTGCAAAACCGCTGTTGCAGCTAGCTTTAGTTTACTAGGATTTAAATTGTTCAGGAAACAAACAAACAAAAATCAATATGAGAGTTCTTATGTGTTTTCTACTTTCTTAAGATTCAGAAAATTTGAAACATTTGAAATAAGTGGTAAATGCACGAAAATAAACATGCTAACAACCACCCATTCAACTCAAAAGTTTTTGATTGTTTTAAAAAAATCTGTATGGTGTGCTTTAAAACAATATTATAATAATAATCATCATCATCATGTGCCATCATGTCTGTTCTGACTTATGGCAACCTTTTCCTGGGTTTTCTAGGTAGGAAGCACTCAAAAGTGGTTTATCGTTCCTTCCTTCTGGGGGTACCCTGGGACTGAGCAGTTTGCTTAAGGCCACATAGGATGGCTTTTCTCTTAGAAGGCACAGTGAAGAATTGAACTCCCAAACTCTAGTTCTGCAGCCAGACACCTAACTCACTTTGCTATCCAGCTAGCTGGTTTAAAACAACAGCTTGCCTTAAAAACAACCAGAATTTCATATAAACAAACATGTTATAGTCCTTTAAAAAAAATAAATTCATAACCCTGTGAAAAATATCTGCACTTTGGCTCATGGTTTCACTTACACGATCTTGGAAACTCTCCATTTCCTTGGTTACACAGTCTAATTTTTCATTATGCCTCATATTCCGTTCATAAGTCGTAAATTACGCCTCTTGAGTTTATTGTTATTATCTATGTATTTTATTTTAATTTTTTGTCTATGTGCTTTTATTTGCTGTAAACAAAAAGCAGTGCATTGCACTAGCAGGGCGGTATATAAATTTAAATAATAATAATAAATGATCTTGCTTAGTGTCCTTATTACATATGTGCAGCTAAATAAAAAGCAGTGCATTGCACTAGTATATAAATTTAAATAATAATAATAATAATAAATGATTTTGCTTAGTGTCCTTATTACATATGTGCAGATAACCAACCAGACATCTAATACATTTCCGGTTGCATGCTATACCTTGATAGGTACTCTTGTTTACGAAATGCATGAACTAGAAAATGAGAAATGTGGTATGTATCAGGATCAAATGTTCTTTGTGTGTGTGTTTAATTGAGTAATTATTTAAATTAATTCATAAGGTAATGGTGCTGGAGAGTTAGAGCGTATCCATAACAGTATAGTTTCTGAAGCTTGACATTGTCATTTACAATAAAATTCCAAGCAGAAAACATGCATGTAAGAGGCAAATATATTCTCCACATGTTACTTATTCTTCTGAATGACTAGAATGCTATTAAGTTTGGGGTCATTTATTTGCCTTGTTATGTATGTGACACAATTAGTTACTTTCAATCCAGTCTGCACAGGAAATAAGGTCATCGTGCCAAAATATGAATTGAAATCCCCATTGTCCAGTGTGCATATACTCACTAAGAACTATTAGTGCTCAGTAAAGAACATTGTTTTTCATTGTTCATAATTATAGTATATGGTGTTTGATAAACAATCCTATGTATTTATCTTAACAATGGTTGCCAAGGAATAAAAATGAAATGAAAGATTTAGGGATATGAAATACACAAGAAAGTACTGGATCAGAATAGATCAGCCAGTGCAATGACTATATATAATGTAGGTCAAAGGCAAATAGGAAATGGCATCCATGGCAGGCAGTGGGAGGGAAACTATGCCTCTGATGTGCAAAGGTGGTGCTTTTCAGTACTTCGAAGACAATTGTTTCCAAGTTGCTGAACCAAAAACTTATAGGCTGCAAGTACCTCAATGACTGCAAGTCTTTTTGTGATGTAGTAAAAACATCAAAGAGAACCCACCAATATTAAAATAAAATCACTTGCAGCTTCAGCAATATAACATTTCTCTCCCTCTAAACAGGGCTGCAAGATCACATTACCAAGGATTATTCCTTGAGGTTTTAGGGAGAAACAAAGCCAGGAGATGCTTGTTTGCAGCATCCTGCATGACACACTGTCTCCCAGGATGAAAGCAGAGCATAGGTCTTGGGAAACACAGTCAGTCTCTCACTGGTTACTTCTAACAAGCCTTTAATAATGTGAGTCTTTGAAAACAAGCTGCCTCTTTTAAAAGGCTTGCAACACAAACATGTCAGTTACCCAAAATAAATAACACACTGATCTCGGGATGTCTGTGATTACTTTGTTCAGCAGATCACAAATTCTTTTGTTTCTTTACCCCTCCACCCTGCCTCACCCCACCCCACCCCACCCCATACTGATTTTGTTTTATTAACACCTTTTCTAGTTCAACACCAATACATAACGTACCTTCCACAAAGCTAAGGTCAGCATAGCCAGAACTAGCAGGCCAAGGAGTATGGCCAATATTATAACCCACAATGGGATTGCAAAGGAGATATTTGGGGTAGCCCAAATAACTGATGTTTTAATCTGAAATTAAAAAACAAAGAACAAAGTGAAGGGTGAAGTGAAAATTGTAATAATATTCAAGAGGAAAAAAGAAATGCATTCTTTGTACCAAATGAAAAGTTAAAATGGCTGTCTTAAAATTAATCACACAATATATGTCACAACTTCCAGGGCCATCCCAAGTTATTCTGCAGCCTGAGTCAGACAAGGTGGCATCTTCTCCCCTCCCACATTCCATGTACAGAAGCTGGCTGGAATGACAGTGCAATCGTACTTCAGTGCTGATGAACAAACAGTGCCCTCCAATGCAACTGAGGCATCTGGCTAGTTTATGGAGCCAAGAACAAAATGGCCAGAACCCTGTTTCCATTTTTATGCCAGTATAACACTGCCAGTGTAAACATCAATACAAACAGCTGCAAATTAAGAAGTCAGCATGGGCATTTGGTGTTGTACAAGTCAGCGTGCAACAGCAAATGCCTATGCTGACTTAATTCGTGGCAATTCACCACCAAGATACAATGGTTATATTACACTGGCATAAAAACTTAAGAATTTGGGACATATGGTAGAGAGAAACAACAGTGGAATCAAGAAGAAGAAGAAGAAGAAGAAGAAGAAGAAGAAGAAGAAGAAGAAGAAGAAGAAGAAGAAGGCAGTAGACACTCTTCCCCTCCTAGTATCTTCCCCTTGATGCAAATTGTCTTTCTATGCCTAACTATAGGGCTGGCCTTGCTGCTTGTTTTAACTTGAATTTCAACATGGAAGGGCCTTGGAGTTGCAAACAACTTCTAAACAGCAAGTACTTGCTTAAATGGTCACTTTAAACATGAGCAATTGTTACAAGGTACATATGTTTTGTACTTGGGTATCTTTTCTGGAATGCAATATGTCAAGTGAAATGGTACTCTGAAAACCACATTACCTTGGATTGTTACATTTAAAATTTGCTGGAGTTTATATTATGACCAAAGCCAAATAAATCTGAGCTCCTTTAGGCTATGCTGTTAGAAAGAACTGATTCCAAAATAGTTAGCACTTTTATTGCATTGTGGTTTCAGACAGCTGACACAGCTACATACCTTCTTAAAGTTTGGGCAAAAAGCCCCTACTGCATAAGACAGTGAAGACAAAACAGTCTTTTCATCGCATGAAAGCTTTTGAAATACTTAAGCTTTGGCTTTGGTGGGTCTCCAGAGGACAATTATATACTTTCCAGAAATGAGAAATTATATATTTTTTCAACCCTACACATTTCCCAACTCTGTTTTTGCAGCAGCTTTAAATATGAAATGCTTAATTTCCATTTATCTGAGGTTTACAGTGCTGCTGACCTCCAGTGTTGTCTATTCTGAGTAATGATGTGTTAACTAGAATCTCAACATGGAAGGCCCTTGGAGTTCCAAACGCCAAGTATAACTAGGAATTCCAAATGCTTGTTCTCCAAGTTGGAGCAGGGATCTTATCAGTGATCAGATCACTAATGGACTCTCAAACACATTGCTCCAACCTCACATCAGATCTACAGCATCAGCCATCTGGTGAAAAGGATCTAATATTTGAAATAATCACTTCAATGTACAATGAACTCAGAGTATCTTTCATTAAGATTTTTGGCTGAGAAGTAATTTCCAGTTGATGCTACTCCTTGAACTTTGTCCACTCTGTTTTTCCTGTCTCCCAGCCTCCTCCAGCTTACTATTTGGCAAATTGACAAAATGTATCCTTTCTCTAAATCAACTTGTAATTATTCCTCATTGTTCCTTGACATTTAGTCCAGTTGTGTCCGACTCTAGGGTATGGTGCTCATCTTCGTCTCCAAGCCATAGAGCTAGTGTTTGTCCGTAGACAGTGGTCACATGGCCAGCGCAACTAGACATGGAACACCGTTACGTTCCCATCATGGTGGTACCTATTTACTGTATCTACTTGCATTTGCATGCTTTCGAACTGCTAGGCTGGCAGGAGCTGGGACAAGTGACAGGAGTGCACTCCGTTGCGTGGATTTGATCTTACGATTGCTGGTCTTCTGACCTTTCAGCACAGCAGCAAAAAGTTTAAAATATGCACATGTTAAAGTGCATATGTCAAAATAAAATACACTACATTATTTGACGGGAGTAGTAAGGAAAAAGAATAATTAATTCAGATAAATTCTCAAATGTGTAATCTAATAGATCTACCAGAATATACAGTATAGTATGCAAAGCACCCTAAAATAGACACATTCCCAGTGCCTTTTAAGGGACACAAGTCAATTGTAGAAGCTTCCTAACACTCACAGTAGAAGTGGCCCATTTTAATTAACTGATAAAGATTTCTCAATGGCTTTCCTTGTGTTCCTTTACAAGGCTGTTGCTGGCATGAAAACACTAAGGGCAGGAGGAAAGAGAGAACATCAGTTGCTCTATTTACAGCCATCTTCTACACAGAGCACTCAGTGAAGGAGATCAACTAATGCAGGAGGTTCCAGGATGTGGATGCTGTTGGCATGACAACATTTGGCAGAGACTTGACTAGAGACCAGAACCAAGGATTGTATTCTGCTTTAGGACAGAAGTCTCTCAAAAGATATTGATGTTGTTTTGTACAGCACCAGGCGTTATTTATTTACAATCAAGGACAACCCTATCATTAGATGCTAAGGAGGCAACATCAAGCAATTAGAAGGGAGAACTATACACAAGGCAGCCTGCTCTGTGCCCCCTAAGCCAGTGCCTTCAGGTGTGGCTGCCCCACTGTCAGTTTTAAACATTGCCAATCCCCTTGGCAATATACAGAACAGGAAAGGTCATCAGGCTGTTCTTTTCCTTAGGGAGCAAGTGTCTTGGCCCAGCTCTAATCATGGTGTTATGTACTTTTTGTTCCCAGAACAATAAGGTGGCTTCAGGGCGGCTCTAGTGCGGGACTTGGCAATTTGTAGATGTTGCTGGACTGCAACTCCCCCAGTGGCCCTAGTCAATATTAACAAATATTAGCGAGAGATCAATGGAGCTTTGATCCAATAATACCTTGAAGGTGACAAGCAGCTCGTCCCTGCTCTAGTGGGCTTAGATGAGCAAAACAGGGAGAATTAAAATATTATCACTGTAAAATCCACATTGCTTAGAGAAATACAAAAATAAAGGCACACAACAGGGCAGATGACCCCACAAGGAGCCCTTGTGTGCTCCTCCCCCAGTAAAGTCATTTCCAGCTAGAAACACTCAGCACTCAAAACTGTCAAGTGCCGTTTTTTGCTTGTTCCCTCTCCTCAGCAGGAATCCTCCAAGGTCTGATGGGTATCTCATTAAAAAAATACACACAGAGATTCCCAGCTTTATGGAGATAATCTCCAAACCATTGACTCCCACAGTTAAAATATCAACCGACAAGGGCAGACTATTAATCAAAGTTCCGCACAGCAAAGTAATGTTCAGCCACCAAACACAGAAGTTGATTTCTTTATTCAATGGTTTCATCAATAGAGGTCAACTGCTTCCATGGATCTATGAGAAAAATTAAACAAAGAGGCTGCAATCATTAAAAAAATGATTACAGGCTACCCTCTATCAGAACATTTTGGATAACAACTCTCTGAACCATCACAGCTAGCATGCCTGGGAGATTCTGGAGGCTCTTTTCCAGAAATGTATTTTTTTGAAGCTTCTACTCTGACAATGAGATGAACTTGTTTCTGTGACAAAATATGGATTCTTATCCTCCATTCTCTTTGTTATGTGCCATCAAGTCACCTCCGACTTATGTCAAACCTATGAATCAGCAATCTCCAAAATATCCGGTCCTCAACAGCCTTGCTCAGCCCTTGTAAATCCAAGTCTGTACTTCCTTGAGGGGATCAATCTATCTCACATTTGATATTCCTCTTTCCTTGCTGTCTTCAACCTTTTCCAGTGTTATTGTCTTTTTCAGAGAATCCTGCCTTTTCATGATGTGCCCAAAGTAGGACACCCTCAATGTCATAAATTTTTCCTCCAAAGATGATTCAGGATTTGCTCTGCGACCCATTTGTCATCTTTCTGGAAGTTCAGGGTATATGCAAAGTTCTCCTCCAGCATTTGTGTCTCCCCTCCTTTCTTTACTATCCAGCTTTCACACCCATACATGGTGATGAGAAATACGAGAGTGTGGATGATCTTGGTCTTGTTTCCAGTGACAAATCCTTACACTTGAAGACATTCTCTAATTTCTTCATTGCTTCCTTTTGAGTTTCATTCTTCCTTTGATTTGTTGGTTGCAATTTCCATTTGGACTGATGATTGAACAAAATATTTGACTATTTCCATGTCTTCATTATCCTCATTAAAGCTGTGTGGTTCTTCTGTAGTCACCATTTTTGTCTTAACATTCAGCTGCATCCTGCTTTGGCCCTTCCCCCCTCTCACTTTCCCTACACTGGTGTAAAAATGGAACAGGGTTCTGGCCATTTTATTTTTGGCTCCATAAACTAGCCAGATGCTTCAGGTGCATTAGTGGGCACTGTTTGTTCATCAGCACTGAAGTGAGATTGCACTGCCATTCCAGCCAGCTTCTGTACATGGAATGCGGGAGGGGAGAAGATGCCACCTTGTCTGTCTCAGGCTGCAGAATAACTTGGGATGGTCCTGGAAGTCATGACAGCCACTATGCATCTTTTCAGCTTTAATCTAGTTGCATTAATAGTGGCAGAGCTATTTGTATTTGTCTTGTGCTCTTCTCTGGTAGGTGACTGAGTGCTTTCCAACCTGGGTTTCTTGTCTTCCGGCACTCCCTCTTGTTTCATTTTCAACTGTCACAGGATTTCCATGGTAAGAAATGTTTGGCAGGGGGTTTACCACCGATACCTTCTGCGCAGCACTAACTAAAGTTAGCTTGATTGTCACTGCTGTTGCCACTGCCGCCCACTAGCTGCCTTGAAGAAGGTGTTTGCATCTCAGTCTGCGCTGGGGCTTCTGTGTCCTCAGTGGAGGCTGCTTTGCCTCCTCTTCCTTCAGAGCCACCCAGCTCATTCATGGGGCTTGGCAAGAAGGGCCTTCCACTTG